ATGTCAATGTTTCTTGATCCTTCTTTCGGATGTTAGGGTTTCTTGTTTGATTTCGTCTCCCTTCGAGAACTGAATCTCCCGCCTGTATTGACGGCGTTCGAGTCCGTAATCCTTTCTCGTTGCTCCAAAAACCCTAACTTTGCTTCGGTGTCTCACCAACTTTCTCGGCTCGATTTGGTGTTGGAGGTGGAAAAATCAGTGATGGGCGCCCCGGAAAAGTCGCAATCTAATACCAATTCGATGCAGGTTTGTCTCTCGCTAGCTCTCTTTGTTTATACTTGTTCGGTCACTTGATTCGAACTGGGCTTGTCTCGATTAGTGTAGAGAACTAACCCTCGAATCCTTGTTTGTTTATATTATGTTCTCCCCTTGATTCTTAGCTGTGTTGCTTTATTGAAGAATTTCATGGTCACCCATCAAATTACTGTACAATTCAAGTATGTCGGTTTCTTAGAGCACCACAAAGATGAGATTTGTTGTTTGGCTCGTTTCTATGGAGTTCATTTGTTGTGATTTTATTTGTTTCCGGAGGTATATATTTACCCTGATGCGTAGTTTAGCGTAGTCCGCTAGGTTCTGTGTGTGTTTATCCTCTTTAGGGCTTTGTAACGTAACTGATAAGTTGGAGTAGCTATCTCACTATTTGGTATATCTTACTTCTTGATAGGAAACGAATCTCAATGATTGGTACATGAAAAACACTATAGAAAGTTGTGTTATTTGATGAATTGTGTTGAATTGAGAGGAAATGTGTGTTATCTTTCCTCTGTGCACTGTGGGAACAGCTTTCTCACACTTGTATTCATTGTTCAGAGAGTGAAGGTCTATCATTTGAATGAAGATGGTAAATGGGATGATCGAGGAACTGGGCATGTAAGCATCGACTATGTGGAGGTCTGTTGTGATTCTAATTGACTTCCTGAATTCCTCCTGCTGCCGGTATTCTGCAGCACTTATTCGGTAAATAAACGTTTCAGAACTTGTAGCTAAATCGAAATGTTCTATGATGCAGCGAACCGAAGAACTCAGCCTCTGTGTAATTGATGAAGAAGATAACGAGACATTACTTGTGCATCCCATCAACCCGGAGGACATCTACAGGAAGCAAGAAGGTAGCCTTTGTGCATCGTGGTTTTATTAGCTTATGAAATCTTGGGGTTTCTGTTTTAATTTTGGATAAGTGGTGTTTGTTCAATGTACAGACACAATAATCTCATGGAGAGACCCAGAACGCTCAACGGAATTGGCTTTGAGCTTTCAAGAGACTGCGGGGTGCTCTTATGTATGGTGAGCAAATAATTTTTTCCTATTTTCTTCTTCTTGTCATCCCTCATTTCTACATAACGCAATACTCTTGACTGCAAATATGGTGTTTGTAATACGCAGGGATCAAATCTGCACCATGCAACGAAATTTGCATTTCAACTCTCTGAGCAGCAGTAAGAATTTTCTTCTGGAGGATTTTTATTAGCTGAGAACATTTTTGTTACTCGTGATTTGCTTCTTTTATATAATATATGCTTATTCTATATATTCTGTTCTGTGTCACGGAAATGAATTTGGAGTGTGTGTTTCAATTTTTTTTTGTATTAGTAATGCAAGGGCTTTAGGTAGGTTTGTTGAGCCACCTATTAGCATTCACGGGCATTTGGATCTCAGAATTTTTTGAATGTGAAGATTTGTTAGCACTTGTACAGTGATTGAAACTTTTCTTAATAACCATGATTTCTTTTATGTCTACTATATATGCTTAATCTGCTCTATCCTAATTTGATCAAATTTTGTATTTTAATTTTACTGTAAAGTAACTTGAGGGTTTTACTTGGTAACCGAGTCGTCAGATACCTTGAGCCACCTTGTAGCCTTTGGCATTTGGATTTCATACAATTCTTGATAGCACTTTCATGGTGTTTGAAACTTCTTATCGTTATCTAAGCATATAGTCTTCTTTTAATAAGCTTTTCTTTGTTAACTTCTGATTATATTAGCATCTGTTGTTGATCAGGTGATACATTTCACAGCCTGAATAGTGAGTTGAGGGAGCTTCCTGCTGTAGAGCTTACTACACTTCCCCTTATACTGAAGGTTTGAAGATCCTACTGCCCCTATACTTTATTTATGTTGTAGTTTGTTTTGATACCCCTTCTTTACCTGTTTCATGTGGTGGAAAGTGCTAAGTAAGTCGTAGATATTTATGAAGCCATCATTTAAGTTTTCTCATCTCGAATGTTCTGTGATGCCTTTTTTTTGTCCTCATTGTACTTTTTACTGTCATGGGAGGATAAATGTTATTTGAGAAATCTAATTTTATCCATTTGTGACTCCCAGAACTACAACGGTTTCTCTCATGGTTATATTTATTCTCCGTGTGCATGTATGTGCTATCACTCTGTGGAAGTTTTCTTGTTAACTAATAATAATGCCCATTGATGCTCTGAATTTGTTTCCCAAAGATTTTTTTGTTATATCTTTCCGTCGTCCTTGCAGATTGTTACAGAGAGTGGCATTACAGATCATGTGCGGCTAACCGAACTTATTTTGAAGGATGTAAGTATTAAGTATTCTTGTATTTTTGTCCCTGTTCAGTTCAGTGTGATATTCTATGGTTGCTCTCTCTCCGGGATAATTTTATCCTGCGCTCTGATGCTGTCGGTAGTGTTAAGGTTTTTTCACGATTACAAACAAACTCTAGCAAGGACATCTCCATCGATATATTTTAAGCTCTATTTTGTTTTACTTTTATCTTAAATAGTACCCAAAGTTTGTGATTTCAGTATCAACTTTTATCTTTAGGGGTATACTTATCAATATAGTTTATCATGTCTGAAAGAGTAGATTCTGGAAACCTCCTTAACCTACCTTTTCCCTTGGTGCAGCATGATTTCTTCCGGAATCTGATGGGTGTATTCAAAATATGCGAGGATTTGGAAAATGTTGATGGCCTTCACATGATATTCAATATCGTCAAGGGAATCAGTTAGTATTCACATACATATCATTATCATTTCTTCTATCCACATATTTCAGAATTGTGTTTTTGATGTCTAGCATTTCTTATATCTTTTATATGCAGTTTTGCTCAACAGTTCTCAGATCTTGGAGAAAATATTTGGGGATGAACTGATTATGGAAATTATTGGATGCCTTGAGTGTAAGTGTGACATCACTGGTCGAACTTAAATTATCTATATATTGTTGAAATAATGGATGGCGTTTCCTTCATAATAATGTAGGTGTTGTATATTTGTTGCATAGGCCTTCTAGACGCTAATTAAAATGCCAAGGAATCATCTTTTAGTTTGCATAGGCCTTCTAGGCGCTAATTAAAATGCCAAGGAATCATCTTTTAGTTCATATACTAAGTCGTACATGGACACCAAAAGCTTATGTTTGTTTGATTGTTAGGTGGATAGTTCCTTGCTGGATCATTGATATGTTCTTAAGTTTGCGTCTGCAGCTGCAAATATTTTAGCCAATGTGGTGCATTCTCTTTTCTTGGCCGTAGCCTAATATTTAGCAATAAATGACGGTGCATGTTGTCTCTCCTTACAGATGATCCTGGTGTTCCTCACTCCCAGCATCACCGGAATTTTCTGAAGGAGCATGTTGTTTTTAAGGAGGTAACATAGTATTCCCTCATGCTATTGATTTCATGTTGTTCTGAACCAGTTAACGTAGACTGGACTTAGGGAATAGGAGAGATGCTTTCCTTTGACAAGAATAAGCTAAGTTTACGAGAAATATTAGAGAATGCTCACTATGGATACTTTGGGATTAGCTTCCTTTGGCTTTTAGGATCGAGATAAATTTAGGATGTTTGGAAAAAAAAATTTGGATTCTTTATTTTATCGATTAATTTTTGCAGGCTATACCAATTAAAGATCCGTTAGTCTTGTCAAAGATACATCAAACGTACAGAATTGGTTACTTGAAGGTTGGATCCCATAATTTTTCTTAAAACTTTTACATCCCTTTCTCTGTGGTTTTAGGTCTCACATTCTGTCACTTTTTGCAGGATGTTGTTTTGGCTAGAGTACTAGATGATGCTATTGTTGCGAACTTGAACTCAGTAATCCACGCAAACAATGCCATTGTAAGTTGTTCTTATAAATGCTTGTTACATTTATGACACTGAAAGCATGCATCCCATATTTTTCTTTAACTAAAGTGTATATTCACCAGGTTGTTTCATTGCTGAAGGACGATAGCAGTTTTATTCAAGAGTTATTTGCAAGGTTGAGGTCACCTTCTACATCTATGGAATCCAAGAAAAATTTGGTATTTCCTGGCTTCAAGAGTCATTTGTTATTTGTTTTAAGCCTCAGTGGTTTCTGTATTCGTGAATAACATTTATATAAGTTATTTTAGTTGAATTCTTTTGGGAGTAAGAGATTTTATTGGGATCCCCTTTCTCTAGCCTCGATGATGATCTACATTTGACAACAGATGGAAACAATAGATCTCTCAGTTAGAAAATTTTGGCTGTTCAGTTGATTTAGTCAGACTGATGTGTTTTATTCTCTATAAAATAGGTATATTTCTTGCACGAATTTTGTAGTTTAAGCAAGAGCCTCCAAGTGGTGCAACAGTTGCGGCTTTTTAGGTATGTACTCACCAGAAACTAAATGCAATTGGTGTTGAACAGTTACTGACATGGGGATATTTCAGCCTTTCTTCGTCAAGTACTTCTTTAAGAAATATCTTTCGTGATCTGTTTCTCAGTTAGTGTGGTTTTCTTTCAATACTTTTTTCAGGGACCTTATTAATGAAGGAATTTTTCATGTCATAGAAGAAGTTTTGCAGATTCCAGACAAAAAACTCGTATTAACTGGGTATACAAGATTTACTGACTAATTCATATTTTAGCTCATTGTGGTTTCTGTTTCTATTTTCATACGCCTTTAAAAAATGAGTGGTAATATGCTAGCTGTATACTCAAGATAACTGTTGTTATGTATGCAGGACAGATATTCTGATTCTTTTCTTAACTCAAGACCCCAACCTTTTACGTTCTTATGTTGTTCGGACCGAAGGAAACCCCCTTCTAGGTCTCCTGGTAATATTCTGTAATCCTTGTTAGCCTTTGGATTGTTTCCCCAGTTGCAAGGCTGTTCCTGTTTTCTTTATTTATAAGACTTGAGTAATAACTGGCTCTCTTGTTTGGGTAACAGGTGAAGGGAATGATGGAAGACTTTGGTGATAAGATGCATTGCCAGTTTCTAGAAATTATCCGAACCTTACTGGATGCAAATGCATTGTCCGGTGGAGCTCAGGTGCATCCTTGTTTCCTTTCAATACCCCTGATGATGAAGGGGTGGTATCCTCCCCCTGCTTTGTGTAACATTCTGCCGTTCATAGTCAAGCTTGTTTATAAGTCTTTCTCTAGCTTTCCACCAAGGCTGGTTATTCTTGCATGTTTTGAATTAGAAGTCACCATTTAGAGCTTTGTATTCATTGTTCTTCAAGATATCTGCTAGAATGTTGAATATATATGGCCCTGCATTTTTATTTATCTTACCCAGTTTTCTTTTCTAATCTGGTAGATAAACATCCTGATTTCTGTTTTTTTTTTTTTTATGCATTCCATTTTAGCAGAGAGCGAATATCATGGATATTTTCTACGAGAAGCATCTACCAGAGTTAGTGGATGTTATTACTGCCTCATGTCCTGAAAAGTCAGGCAACACATCTGAAGGTGCAGCCAGAAGGGTTGGCACAAAGCCTGAAGTTCTTTTAAACATATGTGAATTGTTGTGCTTTTGCATCATGCAAGATTCATCCAGAACAAAGTAATTATGATGATGCTTATTTGGATGATTTTCTGATTTAACCTAATGCTGGCATCCGTTTGATATGTTGTGCAAATTCTCCTTGTCTGCAGATGCAGTTTTCTCCAAAACAATGTGACTGAAAAGGTTTTGCATCTTACCCGGAGAAAGGAAAAATACCTAGTGGTTGCTGCTATACGATTTGTCCGTACTCTGCTCACCGTGCATGTGAGTAGATTCGTTTGAATTTGAGACGATATGTATTGGTTATCTGAAATAGATCCTGAATGCTCCCTGTAGGTATAGAATTGAGACATATAAGTGTAGCTAATCATGTTTTTTTGCTGAATAGTTTGATAAACATATCCTACCTGCCCAAATACTTGTAAGTGGTAGGTATCATATCATACACTTTGTATAACAGATGAATCTGCTTGTGACAACTGATCTTTTCTTCTGCATTGATGCTACCTTTGATATTCCATCATGACTACCAATACGCTCATCAGGTGTAGAAATTTCCTAGGAATGTTATGTGATTGCTGAAATGATATTTCTGTTTCAGGATGATTTTGTCCAGAATCAAGTTGTTAAGAACAACATGCTGAAACCGATTATAGATGTCTTCATCGCCAATGGAAACCGGTACAACCTGCTGAACTCTGCAGTCTTGGAACTGCTTGAGCACATACGCAAGGTTCCCTTTTTCATCTTTTCCCCCTTTTGGTTATCTAGTTGCAGACGTTACCGTATTTAGTGATCATTTCTTTTCTGTGTAGGGAAATGCGACTCTGTTGCTCAAATACATAGTTGATACGTTCTGGGACCAGTTGGCCTTATTTCAGTCACTGGCCTCCATCCAGGCTTTCAAGGTTAAGTATGAACAGGTATTGGTTCTGGGTCTTGATTTATTATTTGGAATATTTTGTCTGGATCTTTGTTTAACAATGTCTCTTCAGTGCTTAGAAAGTGCCGGACCGAAAAGCACTGCTGATGCGGTAGATCCGAGGAGAAGAGTTGACGAACGAGCATTGGATAAAGAGGAGGAAGATTATTTTAATGAAGACAGGTTTGTCTCAGTGTGGTAAAAGTGATTAATTAATTTTTCCGCCTGACCTTTTCTCACTCATTTTAATACCGACAGCGATGAAGAAGATTCGGCCTCTGCTTCTAATACACAAAAGGAAAAACCTGCTTCCAATACACAGACAGAACAACCTAAGCCTCATCTTTCAAATGGAGTGGCTGCAAGCTCTGCTTCTTCGAGGTATAGTAATTCCACAATGGAAATTCATGGAAAGGTGTGTATATATATATATGCATCTATGTTTTAATGAATTTATTGATCACGGCTTCCATTAACTCTGTAGCCCAAGGTCTGGAGGCTTGGTTGACT